AAGTTGGTAAATATTACTTACCGTTGGTGCCAAACAGTGATGGTACATTTTTCTTAAGACACTTATTACAAATTATTTGGTTATCCTTAATATGACGACTCCATATTTAATGTGGTATAAATTGCATTACTACCAATATCTGGGATTGCTTTATTGTTTGTTGCTGAAATCCATCTTCCATTGTTTTGAAAACATGCTTAAAATTGGAAGGTGTTGAAAAATAAATCTAGATTATAGATAAATCAAAATTCAATACACCTTCAAATGCAATAGCCATTTTAATTTCTCTAAGTTTGAAGTTTTGACGAGCTGATAACTGACATTTCGATACGAGCGCCATCCCGTTAATTGGAGTGGTACTAAATTACCTTCCTCATGTTTTTCCATTTGAGTTACCATCCCCTGGTCAGGACGGTCGAGAAATTTTGTCTAACTTTAGTAGTCAAAACTGCCTAGTGAATGATCAATTGTCAAGTGTCAGCTGTTGTTGCACTTACACACACAAAAATAATCTTCCACTATTTAATATCAGTAAGCTAATATTTATATTTTTTAATCAAAAATCCGGTCATAAAATGTCATAGAATGTCACGAAGCTTTGGACGAAGTATCCATCAATAATGTGGTCACCTGAAGATGGATCAAAGGTCACACCACATCGAAAGGTAACCATCTTGCTGATTCACTAGTCAAGAAAGCAGCAAACCAAATACTTTTTGGACCTGGCCCTTTTAGTGACCTGACAAAATCGGTAGTGCCAGACCTAATAAAGAACATTCCCTTGTGAAATTCAAGGAAAGATGGGATGAAACAAGAAACTGCAGATTTGCCAGGGAGCTCTTAAGTTATCTTGACAACACTGCAGCAAACAAATACTTGACTATGACTAGACAGAATCTGCGACTGGTCACAGGCATTCTGACTGGTCATTGCCAAGTAGGAAAGGATCTCTATATCATGTGGCTGTCAGAATCCACACTCTGCAAAGGGTGGGAACAAGAAGATGATACCATCGAGCATATCCTTTAAGATTGCTCGACGCTCTCATTTATTAGGAAATTTGTGTTTGGCGAGTATCGGCTAACCCCGGCCGATATTAGAGAAGCACCTCATGACAAAGTTTTCTACATTGAAATTGTAGGCTAACTCACGAGCTAGGAGGTGCCTATCATCTTAGGAGGAGGCCTACTGAGGCCTAAATGCCGTAGGGGTAACCCACCCTCCACACGTTACAGATACAGATAGCAATCTGGGAATAACTTTCCAGTTTTTAAAACGGATTATAAAGTCCGTATACCAAAAACTGGTGACTAGTGGCTGGTCTTGTAATTTTTTAATGCCCCAATCATGATTTTGAAAAATTATAACTAGACAGCTTCGACTAAATTGTTCAGCGACCGTTCTGGCTATACCTGTTAACTTGTTGACTGGTTGACTTAACGCAGCCTTAATGTAACCAATGTTGTATGGTGTGTGGAACTTGTACTTGTAGCAGTAGAATTTTTCATTTGACACAAATAGATGAAATCAAGTCGAAATGAATGTTTAAACAAAGCGGAACAAAAACAATTTATATATAAATAAACTAATAAGAATAAAATAATAAAAAGCAATTTTGTGCCTTAGTTTTGATATTATTGCCAACTGATTTTGTAGATAAAAGAAAAACAGGAAGTAAACGTAAAATAGCCACTTTATATGACTTGATTTCTTATGTTTCTATCAATTTTATTTTGTTAGATTGGCTGCTGTCGGGGACATGTATACATAAATATACGAAGATGAAGATCCTCTCATTAAATACACTCATAATTTTCATAGACTTATGAAGGTATTTATCCCCTTTATTCCCCTATCTACGCCACTATGTCTTTGTATAGAAGTCCTCTATGGAAGCCAAATATTCTAGAAATTCTACAGTTACTAGATCAGCTAATACCAACAATCACTTAAAAATTTTTAGATGTTAATATAATATTCTATTCCTTATAGATGTTATTTGTTGAGAAAATCTGAGCGAATATTTTCTTGTATTATAATTTACATAGATACAATTCTATAAAATACTAATAACAGTAAAACTCTCAGTACCTAGTTCAATACGGGGTTTTTAAAATAAATAAAATAAAATACTCGTATAAAATTGCAGTTACTTTAATTTTGTTAGTATCGTTTCACTTTATTGTTTAAGATATTAACAATATTGATTGCAAGAAATTGCAAAACGAGGTTCTGTCACTTGGGAAAGTATGATGCCTATATTTCTTTGACCTCTTAAAGGTTCAAGCCCGCATTTAAGTGTTTCGCGTTTTAAGATCACGTAAAAAAAACACCTGTAGGTTGATAATAGCTGCTGTTGCCTGAATGCTAAGGAGTAAATGAGGTTTAGACAGTTAGATAAAAGAAACGCTTTTCCGTTTGTTTACAGGGAAATTGTGAATTTAAAAAAGAAAGTTGGATTATGAAATCGTGTGTTTGAATAGATGTAACTTTTGCTTCGTTAACGAAGTTAATAATTAAGTCTCACTATTAATAGAAGCAAAGTATATTTTATCTACTATCATTTAGCAAAAAAAAATGTTTTTTTCACTTATTTTAGTACATAAAATAGCTATTTATGAAACCAGTTGTGAAATGCCATATTTTTTGTAACGAGTGAATATTTGTCTATTGTCTATTGTCTGTTTCCCTAGCGCATTAAATTTAATCATATATTAACACTATTTTTCCTCACCTAGATACTTTGTTAAATTTGTCCATTTGAGATTGTTCGTTTGTATTCTTATCTTATAATAATAAATTTTACTATTTATATAAATAATAACACGTTCAATCGCTTTCCTTTATCGTTGGCCATTGTAGAAGCTGTCAAGTCTCAAAATCTTCATCCATCAAGTGGTTATTCAGCGATAATACATCGAATGTTTACGTTGAATCGGTATTAATATTACCTAAACACGGTAGTGTCATGTCATTGAATTCAAACGCCAATTATAGGCCAATTGGGCATACATAATTAATATGGCTGTATTAGTGGTGGTAAAATATTAACGTTAACAACTGTTGCTTCTGGATTATAGTGCGAAATTAGCAGCGATTGTTAAAGACAGTCTAAATGTACTAAATACAATATTTTAAGAATTACGATTATAATATAAAAAAAACGCGCTTTATATTAATATAAACAGAAAAAAATATAAAGAACATTTAAACTGACATAATTAAATCATCGAAAATTAGTACAAACGTCTAATAGAAAAAATAGTACAGTTTTTAAAATAGAAAACTTTATTTGTGACTGATGTTTGAAAATGCTCTATTTTATTCATGAGTTGTTAAATTTGTGGCACAAGTTTATGAAATATCATAATCACACACAAATGAGTATCCTTTTTTTAGGAAAAAGAAAATAAAATATATTTAACTTAGAACTAGCAGCTAATGTCGTATTTTACATAATATCAAAAAAATTGAATAAATTGTAATTCGCAAAATGTAGTTTCTAACACCTATCAGAAAATGAAATATTAGGGTTCTTCTACCTTTAAACACAAGCGATTACGACGGAGGGATAAACAGATGGTCGTCAACAAAACCGTTACAAAATCTACCTGGTGAATTTAGCTTACTTTCACTACACTCGAGTTTGTTCACCCCTCTTCACAGGCAAAGAATAATAGATCTAGATATTAAAGAAGAAGAGTCCCGAAAAAAATTAGTTTTTTTTTATTTCCATTTCAATTTAAAGATTAAATAAAAAATCAGAGGGTACCTATTTTTTGTTTGAAAAAAAAAATTGAATTCGGTCTAGGTATTTATTTATTTTGCCTTGGGTAACTATTTGAATTAAAAGCTACATTATATTTGCGATCTTATATTAAACACTAATTGCAAGTTTTTGTTACTGTAAAACAAGAAATATAATTAATAATTTAACTTACAATTAGTTAAAAATTTTAATTACAATAAATAGTTTAACTTACAATTATCTCATAATCTTACAATTTATAGTTCATCTCATAATTAATAGTTTATCTTACAATTAATAGCTTATCTTACAATTAAAAGCTTATCTTACAATTAAAAGCTTATCTTACAACTAATGCCTCCTCTTACAAATCATTAGTTGTTTTACAATTGTTTATGCTGTGAGTAAATTGAATTTCAATATGGCGAATCTCATTTTCAAGAATCGTCAAAATTTATCTCATAAATTTTTATGAACGTAAATTTGTAGTTCTTATAAGGATTATTTTGGAGTTTCCAAAATAATGGGTATTTATTTAGCAAAACTAGTATAGTTAATTGAAGGGGATTGTATCAGACAGTTTGATATTATTATTAAATCCTTATGATTAATTTTGTTTATGATATATTCTTTGTTTCTTTTTGATTTTATATGTTTGTCTCAGAAAACTGCAGAGCCTTTTGACAAAGTTTGGTTTCCCAGTTTAATATTCAATAAAGATGTGCAAACTAAATTTGACGTGTTTTATTTTTCAAAAATTTTAACATCAAAAAATACATCGTAAGATAGTGTCCTACATAAAAATAAATAACAACTAATCTAACTGATATCTTCTAACAGTTTATCTTTTCTTTATTTTTTGCATATATTACTACTTCCTTTACTCATTTTTAAATAATTAAAAGATTACATCACTACTATTTTTTTGCTGCAATTTTTTATATCTATGTAGGATATTTTAAAAATATTAAATTACCTTTAGTTTTTTGATAACATAACTGATCTATTGCATCTTCCACTTTATTTATACTAACTTGTAGTGTCATCTTTGAAATTCAATTTTGATTATAAAATATAATATACATGTAAACAAAAAAAGTACAAGTCCTATTACAGTACCTTGTGGAATACCTTTTTAAAATAATTGATACATAATATCACAGAATACATTGAGCGTTTTTCTAATGATTCAGTAATTTTTGTAATTTTTGGTAAATATGAAAAACTTCTACCATTTTTTTATTCTTTCCAGAGAGTTCTACTACATCCAAATGGAAAAGTATGCCAGGCAAGCTGTTTCGGAGGGAGTCAAAAACGCAGACGACCTTCACGTTGGTGGAGATTCGGAACTCTACAGGGTGCTCAACTTGCACTACAATAGAAATAATCACATCGAGGTATGCGGCCCACAGGTTCGTGAAACAGTACCGAGACATCTCAGAAACACGCTTTTTTGTTTTATTTTTTTTATCAAAATTTCCGTAAATATGTCCTGCTGAGAAAAAAGGGATTTTGAACCCCTTTAATTATTATATAAATACAATTATTAGCATTTCTTTAATCCCAAATAATGTTGGCTTCTTTTGGCTTGATGGGTTACAATATTTTTTTATTAGAATTTAGAATTTTCTTTAGAATTTGGGTTTTTATTAAAACTAGATGCTCTCGGGGTAGTTCACGTACTTAATTTTTGTTTTATTTTTTATTTGCTTACCTCACACTACCTAAAACCCCATAGTGACTCTGGAAGAAAATATGAAATAGGAAAAGAGTTATGAAGTAGCTTTTTTACACAAAAGTTTTTAAAAACTATTATAGTCTATTTTTATGTATAAGAGAGTATTAAAATAATAAAGCTTTCGTAATCCATAGGCGTACCACTTCTTTTAGTAGACAGTTAAAATATTTTTTGAAGTTATTCCTCGAGTATACACTTTTATATTTTCACCTAATTAACCTGCTTATAACTTCTAAACAGCTGAAGGTAAAAAAGTGCAATTTTTTCTATTTTTCCATAAGGTATGTTAAAAATATTGTGTCAAACGGGTTATGTAGGTATAAGTGTTTAAACTTTGACTTTTAAACAACGTTACGTTCATAAATAATAATTTTAATATAAAAACTACTTCTTACCTACAAATCCAAATCAGAATCGAAATCAGAAGATGAACTGTCGCAACCAATATTTACAATGAGTGGCTCGATCATTTCATTAGTAATATTGTCCAACTTCCACATTTTCTCTTCTACTTTAATCGTATGATTTACTGCCTTTTCCCAGTTTTCAGGCTTCACATTATTTACAGCCTCCAAAAACAACTGTTTAACATCACTTATTTTAACAGAATTATTTTTTCTTGAAACTTCTCCCTTTATCTGTGCCCATATCAGTTCAATCGGGTTTACTTCGCAATGATATGGTGGTGATCTAACCACCGTCATCCCACGATTTTTTGCAATTTCATCAATTTCATATTTTTTGAATTTCTCTTTATGAAGGGAACACAAATGATACAGTTCTTTTCTCACAGAACCGGGATGGAACTTAATATTCTTTGAATTTAGCCAATTCTGTAAATATTTTTTTAACCACTTGGTTGTGGGCATTTTTTCTATAAATCTCGAGTGATAACTTGCATTATCCATTACTATTATACAGTTCTGAGGAAGAAAATCTATAATTTGTTCGAACCACTCTTTAAAGACATCAGCATTCATGTCTTCATGGTAGTCACCGATACGAGTAGATTCAAAAGTCAATAAACCACCTTTAACAAAACCGTTTGAACTTCCGATGTGTACTATTATTAGTCTGCGCCCCTTTCCTGATGGTGGATTTAACCCAGTAGATAAATTATTTAAAAAAGCCTGTCTTCGACTTGTAACAGTTTCATCTTGCCAAAATTTATTTGGTTTATGTCCCTCGTTGATCCATGTTTCATCTAAATAAAATATATTTCTTCTTTGGTTCCTCATTTCTTTTATAGTCTTTAGGTAATTTCTTCTCCATATTTCAATATCGCTTCTTTCTATTAAAATAGACTTTCTGGAATGCTTTTTCCATAGAAAACCTATTTCTTTTAAAAGTTTCCAAAGTTTGCTTCGACTCATTTCAGGGTAATCCTTATCATCTCGAACCGTGGCAAGAACTTTGTCTACTGTCGGAAATTCTTTTCTAAAGAAGAACGCATGCACTTTCCTTCGAAGTCTTTCTTTCAAAAGATTTTCTAATTGAAATTTTGGTTTTCCTGGAGCTTTACGTGCTGTTTGAAACTCGCCACATTTCTCTTCTTTAACTACTCTGTAAATCGTAGATTTCCCAACACCAAGCGTACTACTAACTAATTCCACTGTGTCATCAACACTTTTACATAAATGTTTGTCTGTAAATGATTTAAAACAATTAAATATTAATGTTTTTTCATTAACTGTTAAAGGACCGATTTTTTGTCGTTTACGCGGCCCTTCCAAATTTTCCATGATCACACTAGAATTCACACTGCACCTTGCAAGTTGCAACTAAACGACATTTAGTAAACTGTCAAGAATACACAACTTGGACCTCCTTACTAAATGGAAAACCTATAATCGCATTTTCGGTGAAATTTGTTGGAAAGGTATTTATCTACTTATAATTCGATTACTATAAGAAATTCTTGTAATTAAAATAAAACAAAATTGGCAAATAGGTACTTATTGAAAATAATCCTAAGATAGGGCTATGTAATCTTTAATACACAGGGCTTTTGGCCTGTCCAAACCTTTTTCTATTGTTCTGTACAGCTTATGTTTCTAAAGGACCAATAAAAGACCCAAAACTTGTAATAGCTCAGGTACATTTATTACAATTTTAGGAAATATTTAGATTATTCTGTAAAAATATTTAAAATGACCGTACTAAGTTTTGCATTAGAAATGCTGTTTTATTACTCTCTCATACATAAAAATAGACTATAATTATGGACTGAACACATTTATTTATATTATATTTACCTATCCCTATTTATTTCTGTTGCTTTATTATTATAAAAAGATATCTTTAAGAATTAATTAACAATTATAAACAATATTATTTTGGCACAGTTCTTAGTAATTAATTAGAGATTTAAATGTTTAAATTCAAAATTTTCAAAACTAAATATATCAATACATAAAAAAAGTTAATAAATGAAATAAAAACATTACATTTTATTAGTATATAAAAAGTTGCTTATATATTTGTTCAAAGCAAAACCATTTAAAAATTGAAAACAGACCGACAAAAAAACTAACGTGGTTTATGTTACAGGTTCCTTCTAACTTCAGGTTCGTTGTGGAACAAACGCTTAGGGAATTTTTCAAAGCGATCCAAGAAGGCCGAGATGCAGAGCAATCCTGGAAGAAATCCATTTACAAAATAATTTCGAGGCTAGACGATCCTGTTCCGGAGTATTTCAAATCTCCCAATTTCCTCGAACAGCTTGAGTGACGGGTCAGCGATATCCGATCGAAAGCAGTACCCCAAAGTACTGCCTGTTAGCGGTTCCCATTAAACAGGCCGCAACACCAAAGAGAATCGGTGACGTATCTCGCAAACTGTCAACAGTTTTCGTTGTTTTTGTTGGTTTTGAAGACGTCGATGTTCACCAGAACCGCGCCATCTTTGAACGCATTCGAACATTTGTTGAATAATTGTGTTGAGTTGGCAGAAAGACTTAATAATTATATGCCTCAGGCTTTGCGTTCGTTAATTGCGAACAGTGAATACAAATCAATCAATTCTACAGTGATTTACCTGAATATTTACCGGATAACAAATTATTAAAGTCAAGTCCTAAGTTTCTACAAACCAGCAGTTAGCAAAGTTCAAAATCTGCATTGTTCTTTCGTTTACTTTTGGCATGATCTTGTTGCTGCCACTGTAAACTACGCTGTGTATATCTGTTTGTACATAGAGACAAATGTATATAGTATTTATCACTTATTTTTATTTATATTATTACATTCCTAACCAAAGTTATATTTTTGCTAGTCGTCCTAGGACTCACGTCCTAGATTTTATTTTATTTTTATTTTTTCCACACTATGCAGCGAGATTTTTGTACAATTTTCCACATATATATTTATCTCTCGCTGCATTGTGTGGTTAGGTTTTTTTAAAGAACTATTTAATCTCTTTTTGTATAAAATACGAAGAGATGTAATATTCTTGAACTTATTAGGTAGATATGCCACTATTATTTTTATAAGTATTGAGTCTTTAGAAACATTTTCTCTGAAAAACGGTACTTCCATCTATCGATAACGCATGAAAATATCTTTCTTCATTGAATTTGTTACCGTGTGTCTCTGATAGATGGTAGCACTGAAGCAGTAGAAGCATCATACACTCTTAAATTTTTATCAAAACCGTTTAATTATTGAATTAAAATACACACAATATTAGAAACTAATTTTTTGAATTGCGCCAATAAAACAAATAATATTAGTTTGACCGTACATAAATCATTATAGTAAACAATTAAAAAAAAAAAACTCAAAAATCAGAAACTTAAATTAATGTATCAGTCCAAAAATATTGATCACATTCATTCCTTTGTAAGATCCATTCACAAAAGCAAACTCTGTGGGGGAAATCTTCAAGTTGTAGTTCTTGAACACATTAAACATGAAAGAGATTCAATTGTTTTCCCGCAATGTTGTCCGTGCTTGTTTTTAAATCTTCTTCAATAACATTTAAAATATATTCTTCTAAACATAGTTCATTTTCATTTTACCAAACTGAAAAATTCACAGTCTCAGATAAACACGATACTGAAATCACACGCGACTTAATTACAATTACCGGTATTCAATGAATCGTGATTTATAAGAAGAAACCGAAAAAAAAAAAGATAAAAACATAAACAATGTTATTGTTTAGCTTAATTTTTAATGCACAAGTCTAGCTCCAGATTTAAAGTTTTTAATTTAATATTTTTTATTTTTGAGTTGTTTGAAAAAAAAAAACAGTTAAAAAAGCATCTAATCAGTATATTATTTATAAATATTTTAATATGTACTATTAATGACAATAGTAGTTTTTGCAACAAGAGTGGATATGATGGCCATATCGCACGAAGACGAAATTTGGGCACGACGCCGTAGGCTGAGTGCTCAAGAATCTGGATATGGACAATCCACTCGTGTTTTTACACAGGGGCGGCTTGTGGCCAAAATTTTAGGGGTTCACAGTAGCAGAATATAGATGTCGGTACAGATATAAGTAAAAAACTGTCAGTGTGTTGGAAAGGTATATTATAAACTTTCTAAAACACCGAAAGTTTTTTTATATATCTGTACTGATATCTATACTCGGTCACTGTTAACCCCAAAATTTTGGTCACAAGCCACCACTCGTTGTACAGTATATTTTTTCTACGACCCACTAACAGAAACCTACAAATTAAAAAAATATTTTAGATTATTAAGATAAAATAACTTATTTTAAAATAATTTATGAATTTTACAGATTTTTAAAATAAAATAGATATTACGCTTTTACGATTTTGGTTTTAATACTCGTAATTAAGATAGTTTCACATAGTTTGCATACAATTTATTTTTTGTTTCAAAATATGGTTCAAATAAAAATCGAAGTGCTATTATTTACGATTATTTATCGATTCTACACAAAAATAACTCATTTTATTGTATATTTAATCTTAATAATTAAAAAATATACTGAAAATTAGTTGGCCAAGATTGTCACTTATTTAAAATTTTAAAAATAATAGTATTTCATTATCCATTTTTTGCAGTGTTCTCACTACATAGAATGGATATGAAATATAACCGTTCAGTTGAACGCAATGACATACTTTTTCGTTTTGTAGTCTGTGCGAAGATAAGCTAATATCCATGTGGGTGTAGAAAAAATTATTTTAATGATCATCAATAATGTATATATTTATATATTGTTAATAATACAAATCTTATTTTCATGATACACAATAACAATAAATTCAATACAGCAAATATAGGAAAAAATGAAAAAAATCTATGTTTTATAATTTATTTTTATTGGCTTAATTCCAATGACAAAAAGATACATACTTATATATTTGTATTAAAATATAAATTTAGCTCAAAAATAATTAATAAACTCATAGGGTTAGGTAAAACAAGTTCACCATTATTTGGAGGACATAACTGGATATATCAAACTTGTTACATTGCAGTATCTGTTACATTTGTTAATTGGATATATCACTTTGTGCAGTTTAAAAATTTCCTTGAGCTAATTTAATTATTTTATACACCGTTCTTTCTAAAGACTCAATAGTTATCACACCTACATCCTGTCGTCTCAATTTTTTTATTTATTTTTGTATTTATTTCTGTTTGGACTAGTTGCTGTTTTATTTTATTATTTTATTTTTTAGCATATTTACCTAATGATTTTTTAAATTTATGTTTTAAGATACACGTGCACAAACACTAGTGTAGTAATACACGATCTCCAATCACTGTGTGAGGCAACTAGTCATGTATTATGTGAAATATATTTAGTTCCAATTATTTTTTTTTTGTTTTTTTTTTGTTTGGTATTTTTTTTTTGCTTCCAGTAACAGTTTAAGTTTACAGTGGAGGTAAAAAGTCTCGGGAATAATTTAGAGCCGCGGCCAAGGGCCGGAAATAAAAAAAAATCGCAAATAAAAATTTGTATATAAAAATAGACGAGCTCAGTATTCCTTCTCATCCCACAATAGTTACAGTCACATCATAAATAACAAAATGGTCCCGAGTAAAATTATCTTAGTCTACAACTAGACTAAGAAATCGTGATTTTGCTGTTCCTAAAGTTATATATTCGAAACTGCCGAAATTCGAAAGACTGCCATTCATTTACGATTTATTTAGAATTTTGTTCGATTTAAGAAGTTTAGTTTCCTTTCAAAATTAATCGTTTGGGTGTATTAGAAAAATCTTGAGTTGTTTTTAAGTTCGGCTCGGGACCTTAAACAGGTACATTACATTAAAAACGTTTTTTAAAATTTAAATATAAGATAGTTATTTATTAGAATAAAAAAAAAAGTATTTAACGTTGTCGATTGTAAAGTACCCAGAATGCGGGCAGTTCTCAAACCCCAAAACGCTCGGTTCTTCAAATCAAATCTGTAATTAAATTTTCATTGCGTCGACGTACTGAAGAACTTAAAATTCGTAAAATATAATATACATGTACCAAATTTACTTTTTAGATAATAGGAATAAGTGTTAAGTTAGAATCAGACATATAACAAAAATATCTTATCCAGCATGCTGTCATTTATGTTAATATTACAGTGCACTTACCCACTTACACGCCTAAAGCATTTGTTGCAAAATTAAAATCCCTAAATATTTAGTTATACATAAATATGATAATCCTACATTTTTGGAGACTATTTTTTGTACTATAGCCATTAAAATCAAAAATAATTCAAATTCAAATTCACTGAAAATCAAGTTAAAGAAATTGTAAATTTAATTACATTGTTAAGTTAATTGAATTGACAGATTAATGGATTTGTCAAGTTAATTGAATTGTCAAGTAAATTGATTTGTCAAGTTAATTGAATTTTCAAATCAATTTACTTTTCAAGTTAATTATATTGTCAAGTTAATGTAAATTATCAAGTTAATTAAATGGTTATGAATATTGACTGACATAAGTTAATTGACTTATTAAGTCAATTAAACTGATCCATCACAAGTTGACTAAGTTGTAATGTTAAATGAATTTAAGTATCTTTACTAGCAATAGAAACTGATCATTTGTAATAAAAAACAACATCTTGGTGAAAAGTAAACTAATAACATTTTAATTAAAATGCCAAGTAAATTCAAATGCCGAGTTAATTAAATTAGCAAGTTAACTGATTTTTTATATTAATTAAATACACATAACTTAATTAATAACAACAATTAAATGGCTTGATATGAATTAAAATAATAAATATCTAGTCAAAAAGCTAAAATACGATACATATTTATGGTAATATTATAATTGTTTAAGATCATAATAATTAGAGTAAGATCATAGTAATTATGATAAGATCATAATATTTGTGGAAAGATCATACAAATTATGGTAATATAATAATTATAGTAAGATCATAATTATGGTAAAATTATAATTATGGTAAGATCATAATAATTATGGAAAGATAATAATAATAATAATTATTATTATTATTTGGGTAAGATCATAATAATTATGGAAAGATAATAATAACAATAATTTTGGTAAGAATATAATAATTATGGAAAGATAATAATAAATTTGGCAAGATCATAATAATTATGATAGTATATTATTTCTGATAAAACCAAAATTATGGTAAGATTACAATAATTATGATAAGATCCCAATAATTATGATAAGGTAAAATCATAATAGATATGTTAGGATCTTAATATTTATGGTAAGTTCATAATAATTATGGATAGACAATAATTATTGTGGTAAAATCATAATAATTATGGTAGTATAATATTTCTGGTAGGACCAAAATTATGGTAAGATTATAATAATTATGACAAGATCACAATAATTATGATATGGGAAAATCATAATAAATATGTTAGGATCTTAATATTTATGGTAAGATCATAATAATTATGTGAAGATTATAATAATTATGGTAACATAATATTTTTGATAAAACCATTATTATGGTGAGATTAAAATTATGGCAAGATCATATTAATTAGGTAAATATAATAATTATGGTAAGATCATAAAAATTATGGTACGATCATAATCGGTATGCTAAAATTAAAATTATGATCATAATGATTAGATTATGATCATTATATTTATGTTAGGATAATAATTATGATGAGATCATAATAATTATGATGAGATCATAATAACTATGATAACATATGATCATAATAAATGTGATATGATCAAAATATTTATGGTAAGATCATAACTATGGTATCTTAATTATGGTAAGATCATCATTACATCCAATGTTATGATAGAAAAGCCAATTGTTTGACCATGATTAAATTTGAATAAGTGTAAGATAGCAAAGATATTTCACTTTTTATAAATGTTGCAATAAATGTTTTAGCGAGGATGAGCATTGTAACCAGAATTTCTTAGCCGTACATATTCATCTATAATCAGAATTTCATATATTTGGTATGAAAAGAAAAAGTGAAAAAAAATTGTACAAAGTCCGTTCTTCAGTGTGTCGATAACAAATATATATACATAATATGTAAATAAGCTTTTCTCCATACAATAGATGTAAACCGGTAGTATTTGCACATATATTCGGTGTTACTTTTGAAATATAATAAGAAATAGTGGACCGGGTAAAAAATCTGAGTACAAAAGTTTGTGAACTGGCGGCATGTAACAATGGGATCATGAAGAGAATACCCAAGTGCTTTATTTTTAAGTGTTGTTTAGAAGCAAATCCTGCAGATTTTCACTTGGCTATGGACTGGGGTAATGATAAGTAAGAAGCAAAGAATGACTATTGTAAATTTGGGTATTATTTGAATGATAACTTGGTGTCTCGCTAATACTGGTCAGTCGAGTCAACTCTGTTCGAAAAACTTTTTATAACTATAGACATAGCCACATTCTGATTATCATAGAAAGGTTGAAATGATAATTTGGATATACTGGATTTTATTTATAAACTACACTTACTGCATACCTATTGATTAACTATCCAATATGTTCAATAAGTTTAAATGATTTAAATTTGGGAAATATCTTATTTTCCTTATAAATATTCAAAATTGCCAAATTATTGGAGGAGCCATAACAGACTCTTTTGGTGTTTAAGTATTTATTATCATAAGTATTGTTAAAGTCTTAAAATTCAGATTTACTATTAAATTTACATTTTAGACAATCAATGACAAAACAATTGAGGTTTGAAAAAAATTCACAATGTAGATAATTTTTAACTGTTTTTTTTTACTCAAATGAAAAACAATAACAAACATTTAAACTATAATAATGCAATGTTCCAAATTGTATGAGCATGTATTGTAAAAATTACAAAATTTTACCATCAGAACATTTTTTGACGTATTTCCAACAAATTTAGTGTAATACTTAAAAAAATTTTTGCTTCTGCAAAATGGAACATATAATATATTTTAAAGTTTGGTTAGTAGATCAAATAGGTAGGTATTATACGATATTTTTTCTGAATATAGTCAAATTTTTTGATTGTTCTTGCATAAACCAAAATAAGAAGTATTCAAACAGATTATGACCCGACTGGTTCCTGCTTCTTGTTTATAATTATGTTAGTCCGTGAACTTGACAAACAAGACCTCAAAAAGTTACTGTTGGTTTTAACAATTCACCCAACTTTAACTTATCAGAGATATACTGACGATTATGACGATTTTTCAAATGCGAGAAACTTTTAAATTCAGTAAAACTAGCGGTTGGCTAGACACGAAATGGCAACCAGTCGAGACCTGCTGGCATTGTTCAATTAAGTGTTTTTGAGTTGGTAAGCTTCAAACTCAAAATTTTTGATATCTAAATTCTATAACATCGAATTATTTGGAAATTGGGATATTTATTCAAATTTTCGATATCTTGAAATTAAAATTAATAGATCATGTAATGAAAATGATATTGATGAATTTGAGATTGTTTTAGATGTTAAGATGAAAAATATAGCACATAAAATTGTTTTGAAAGACATCATGTTCAGATAAGTAGTAGAAAAATTGAATGCAGAGTTTTAAAGTCAAGTTGGATTCAATAATTAGATTTACAACGTTTTAAATGTTTTAAATAAACATGGGTATTCAAAACGAAAGTATTTGTGTTAAAAATAAATTAGATAACAGGTTATTAGTAACAATATATTCGTTTATTAATTTTAAAGTATGCCCAATTTCAATAAACTATCGCAGCTTTCACTAATTTGGATGTAGTTTTTTGGGATTATTGCACATATACTTCAGGAATACTTGAATTTGATACGCCAGCAGGAATCGATTGGTCGCGCTTTTGTGATGGATTCAGCTACAATTTGCTGCCATTTTACTGGCCGAATAAGGCTCTCGCCTCAATTCGCGCTTAGCCGAAAGTTGAAAGTAGGCTATGGTCCGAATTGTTGAAGACAAACCCAACAGATGAATTCAGAAAAGACCTGATGAAGGTCCCGGAGGAATTACATTGCTTTCTGGATGAGACTGTAAAAGTAATTTTTGAGGTCGATCCAAAACCCGATTTGATCGGGACGTAGTGTAGTTTCCCTTCTGTAGGTAGGATCCCTGCATAGTTAACCTTATAAGTTTATAATTTTTAAAAAGGCTAAAAACAATTTTATCGTTTTCAGTAATTTTTGGGACGATTGTTCCTTATTAGTGAGACTAGAATCAAACTTTTAGATTAGTGTTGACGGATTGATATATTTTATCGTTTTGGAATAAAAAAATTATCTCTAAATTGTTACAAAGACAAAATTCCTATTATAAGCAAATAGAAATCTCCCAAAAATTACTGGTAATATAAAATTCGGTTTAG